ATTTATTTATTTATTCACCCTAACAGACCACATAGGTCTAATTACAAGGATGACCTTATTACATACAATATAATAGATACACTGAAAATAAAAAGAAGTAAAAATTATAAATGAGTTACTGACGGCGTCGATTAATAAGTGTGCCAATATATTCAAAACATTAGAGTGGAAATGTTCCATTTCTGTATCATTACAAACAGATGATAAACAAATATTTGCAGATGAAAGTTATTAGTAATCCAGAATAATGGTATTTCAAAGTTGTATCGAACACATCATTCCAAAAATTCATTGAAGACCAATTATTTATCGTTTTTCATGGAAAGCCATATATATGTATATTCATCATTCTTATGCATCAGATATTCAGTAATATATGCAACATCATTAGTACGTCTTATATGGGACCAAAATGATAAAAATAAAGTGATTAAATAAAGGTGAAGATGATGATTGATATTGTGTATCACTATCCTGGAAGTCCACTTCGAAAACATTTGTTTTTGTCACTATTTTCACCGAACCTCGTTAGCTTTATGATAGGTAGGTGGTAGGTTTGAAACGAACGGAGTTGATTTTCTTGTTAATGTCCATGATTATTCACAAAATTATAATAAATGACAGTTCAGTTTGGTCACAATTGTGTTTACAATTGTATTGATACTTTCCTATTCAATGCATGTTCTTTGAGATGAAAATATGATGCTTTCCACCATACTCAAAATTTTCGTCACATTTTGTATGTAATTTTGGAAACGTAATTATAATTCAGGTTATGGTTTGTTCATACCATAGGAATATTATAATGAAAACGTCATCATGATGCTGTCCATTATGGTGCTATCTATTATTTTAAAAATGACATTTTTTTTTCGTGTAGAACAAATGGATAAGTCAGATGGCTCCCAAAAGCGAAAAAATCAGAAAGTTTCCAACAAGCATTTTTTTAAAAAGAAAAAATTTTTCAGATAAGACTGGATTTTCTGAGTTTGGTGTTAGCCCAACCCGACGGAAATGGCAACTGTGTAGACGATTCGATGATAATAACTGGCGCTGCATCTGTCGTTCCAGTGATTTGCGGTGAAAATTCCGGGCAACATATATATTTGACTGTTGATGGTACCAATCCAATTCAAATCGTCATCTCCACAGGAACTACTGTGACTTTAGGAAGAAGTTGGAACATCAAAGTTACTCAAATCGATTGTGACTGTCCAACGTTAGGTGAATTATATTTATAACATTCATTCTCAAAAAAGCGGATCATTATTCTCATCATTTGATTTTTCACAATTTTCAGAAGTTTTGACGATTTTGCAATGAAGTATGTTTCAGCTCCAATAGGATGTCTTCAGTATTACACAGAATTGACTAATACCGTCAATAGTTTCAATTATGGCAATGGTTTGAATGGGAACCTAGTAACACAAGCCGATGGTACAATTGTTGCAGGAACTAGACAAATCGCCAATCAAAGATATGGTATTTGTGTTGGAATGACACCAGGTGAGACAACTAACACAGGTTGAACATCATAAAATCTTCAGAAATGATCACCAGATCTTCAGAGTACTTTTATCGATCTCCAAATGACATTTCCAACCCATCATTCCCTTTTATAGATAATTTCAGCTTCAAATCACGATCAGAACTAAAGGATTCTGTTTGACAACACGAAAGTCATTGCCCCTAACCAGGAATACCATAGCCGACTGATACGAGAGACAATAAAGATCCACGAACACAGGGATAATTAAAAGAAGAAGAATCTGTGAATCTCAACCGAATATAGAATCCCATTCTAAGAAGTTTAAGAACAGCAAACAGTATGACGCCAGGTAGAAGAGGGTCGAAAATTATTATTGACAATCCAGATACAGGTAGAGAGAGAGAACGCTTCACGCTACCTAATCCATACGACCTGTATCAACATGAATACGCTTTACGCAGACGTAATATCCAATCATCGTGGAATAACTCAGAATGTACAAACTTTTGGAGAAGGTAGACACTCGAGCCACGGAAACGTCAGGAGAAAATTCCAAAAATTAACGGCCTACAAAGCCGAAAAATGAGTCTGTTTCGGATGTTGAAGCTTCCAAGATGGTACCTATATTCTATGGTCCGTAACCTCTTTCAAAGTGACTTCGAGATGAAGGAAGGATAGTTGTGAAGGCTTTTGTTGTCACCTGATCAATGTCTGGAGTTTTTTTCCCAACACCAAATCGTTATTTTTACACCTCACATGTGTTAGAGGGTAAGTCAAAAGACGATGCACCAAAAAATCGAAACACGTGTCGAGGTGTAAAAATAACGATTTGGTGTTTGGAAAAAAACTCCAGTAATATTCATTACTACACCAAAGGTTCCAAACAGTACATCACAAGTACACTTTAATGAAGTTTATTTGCGTTGTAATCGAATCATTCCTTTGGGAAGAAAATGAAAGATACGACTATATGGAATCTCAACGATCACTTTTCCAGTAGATAGATTGAAGGTTGAGTAAATTATAAAAGCTTTTCAGTTTTCTTGATTTTCTGGAGATGCCAACTTGATTGGTGAAACACAGAATAATATTGAAACTGGATTGGATTGAAAATTGAAGATTGAAGATTATATTCTATGCCAGAGTTATTCTACGCTGGTTTCACCTCTCATTATTTTCAACAGTTTCTACAGATTCATTTCTGCTTATTCAAAAAAACCTAGCATTTTCTAATAAAGATTGCCTTTGCGTAGAAATTCCTTGGCATACATACGTTTTTTGATATCCATGACTTCCTTCGTGCTTAACTCCTCTCGCTGTGTTTACATTTTTGTTTTCCAAATTTTTATATTCTCTTGCTGTTTTTCAAGAAAGTATGCGGTTTGTTATTCGAGATAATGACAATACATATATGACGACAGTTTCTTTCCTTCAGGTTACTGCTCCATTCGATGGGCCCAGACAGCTGACACAACTTCTTTCACTCTAACTGGAGATACTGCTGCAACTGCATTAATGCCTGGACTTCCAGGAAATCCTGGAGTTGGTGAGGCCTGTACTACTGACTATGTTGTTATACCAAATCCATTCATGACAACTGGTGCAGCAGAAGTAGGGGACAGGTTTTGTGGTAATCAATTGAACACCGTTGTCAGTAAGTGAAATTTTCAAATTTTCAATCTAAGTGTTTTCAGAAGTATCCGGTCTGACCTAGAGATGGGGTAGTTATTTGAAAAATATCAATATATTAGGAAGTACACAATATATGAAGCATATGTTTCAAGTTTGAAGACGATGCGTTGTATAGTATTTGCTTGGCAACTATCAACAGTGAACGTTTCCGGTGGATTTTTGAAAATGGAGAATATTGGTCATCGTTATGTGGTACAATACTTCCATTTGAAACGTTTTAGCCAACCCAATATGATAGCTGAACTGGATTGTACTCTGGGTGGGTCTGCTCCTTCGTTTACAACAATGAAATATTGGGTAGCAGAGTTTTGATGGGGCTATACGAGCTGACAAGACAAGCATCGCAATGGTCGACCAAATGAGGTAACGACTCTAGAAACAGTGAAGAAAATCTACAAAGCGGTACTAAAGGATCGTCGACTGTAAGTGTGCGAACCAACAGATTCAGTACATCGTACATTATCTAAAAATCTGGACATGAGAAAACTGTGAGCAAGATGGGTACCGCGTTTGGGTCACACTTGGGTAAAAATAGTGTCCTGAAGATGTTTCGATTGGGTGTTCAGCGAAGTTTCACAACAACAAAGCAGAATTCTTGCGTTGTTTCATAACCATGAATGAAACATGGGGCCATCACGTTACTCCCAAGGCAGAAAAAAATCAAAACAGTGGACTCGAAGGGGAGAACCAGCTCATCTGCAGGAAAGGTTATGGAATCGGTTTTTTTGAATACGTGTGGGATATTTTTCATTGACTATTTTAAAAAAGGCGAAGCTATCAACGGTGAGTATGAGGCGAGCTTATTGCAATGAATTAAGCAAAAACGACTGCAGTTTGCTGAGAAAAAACTGTTGTTTCATCAAGACAATACACCAGCTCACAAACCCATTATCGCAATGACCAAAATTATCGAATTGAAGATTGAATCGCAACCTCATGCACCCTATTCGCCAGATTTATACCTCTTGGATTATTTTCTGTTCTCAAACTTGAAAAAATGGCTCATTGGTAAAAGATTTTCCAACTATGAAGTGATGTAAGCAGTTAATCACTATTTTGAGGGGCAAGACAGTTCTTATCGTAAAAACAAGTTTTTTGTTGGGCCGGATATTTCTGGGATCACCCTTCTACCTGCATTGGAATTTTCACCTCTTTCATTGATACTTTAAAAATGATCATTATATTCAAAACATGGGTTCGTTGTAAAAATCAGAAACGATATTGGTGAATACTTCGGTGTTTGATAGATTCTCAATACATGTAAACAATATTTTGAAAAACAGGTGGATTAACGGTATTTGAACCTGAATGGAAACAAACCTTCCAAAAATTCATAAACCTGACAAGTTGTTCAACAAAATGTTTTCACAATATAGTATTGAAACTCAAGTCTGCACTATTACTGACTTCTTCTTTATCGACATTTATTTACATTCCAAAAATTCCTAAACCTGACAAGTTGTTCAACAAAATGTTTTCACAATATAGTATTGAAACTAAAGTTTGCACTATTACTGACTTCTTCATTGACATTTGTTTACATTAGACAATTAGTAGTGTATTCGCCCCCATACGAACGACAACTCTCAGAAGTTGAGAAACTTGTGCGAGCTAAGGACTAACGAGGTCTTACCTTTCAACGTGTGATTCCTAACACGGTTGCAGAATCATCTCAGCTTCAGCCAGATAAATTCTCTCGAAAAAAATATCTGGTCGAGGCGGGAATCGAACCCACGCCCAATTCCGTAATACATTGCTTTCCCTTTTAGGAATTTTTCTGGAAGAAACATTGGATTAGGAATAGTCAGTTATCATGTCATAGAGTTGGCAAACTAACCTCAATTTTCATTTTTTTTTCAGCTTTTTCGAAACCTTTCGTTCTCAACGTTGTTACCGATGCAAATGAGGCGACCGATGCAGCCAATAGAGGATTTTCTTTGACTTACACCCAATTGCCTTGTTCAACTACATCTAACTTGTTTTTCACTGGATAATATATTTTAGTAGCTTGTATATGTCTTTTATTACATTACCTAACGCGGTGGTTCTTTAGGAAATGCCATGAACACAATTAAGAAACTATGTTTACTTCGATGGAGGTGATGAGTTTCTATTCAAATATAATAATCACCAGTAGGGAAAAAATATAATTCATTTAGTGTTTCAACCCGACGTGAGATTGATGAGGAATTGTAGGTAGGTTTGAATATTTCAGAACGTTTTTTTGTCTTTTACTTGCAACATACAGATATAAAGACATCCAATATCATTGATTTTGAGTTCGTATTTGATCACCTCACAAAGCAAATTTTTTCCTTCGACAGCTGTGTGGAAAATCTGAAAACAAGCAAACTAGCGAAAGAAAACTGCTAAACATATTCCATTATTTCAAATCTGAAATGGCAGATTTTGGTCTTCAAAACGTTTCGTTAAATATCATTGAAATTTTGTGGAAAAATGTGGGTATTGAATCAACGCGAAAACTTGTCAAGAAGAACTAGAAGTTTGCCCCTTTCTACACCCTTTCTACAGAGTGTGTATGATGAAAATACCTGAAAAATTCAATGCTTTCATGTCCTTTTGATTAACTCTATAGAAAACTCAGTTTCCAATAGACATAATTCCCAATTTCCACTATTTATCAAACTTTATTCAGGTGATCCGGCAAGAGAAACTCAAACATCCCGGTTCAATATTGACAAAAAGTAAATCAGCACCTTATCCAGGAGTGCGTTCTGGCATGAAATTAACCGTGGCATTTTCATCTCTTTGGAAATTCGATTTAAATTCTTTCCTGGGCTGTCTCCACTATTTTGCCTTCTTCTCAGAAGTCTGAATATCATTTTGGAGTTTGCCGAAGACGGTATTTCTCGATTGGAATCCAACAATTCAGCTCTACAACCTAATCAACCTAACACGTATTGATGGATAATGTTGCAAAGCGTTATCTGGATAGAGGTTTCAATTCGTGGATGCATTTTATGGTGGAAACTGATTACAGACAACTTGTAAATGCAAAGACTCTTCGAGGTCGATACAGTATTCCAATGGTGTAATAGTTCTTTTCCCAATGAAACACAGCGGATTTTTGAATTCAACTTCAATGCAGCTGATTCAAAATGACTAACAATACATCGTAAAACAACAAATGAGATTGAAAGTCCGGATTATGATGATTATGATCGTCAATGATAATATTTATATAATTTTCACAATAAATTTTATTTGAAACGGGTTCCGTTACTGGGTACCATTTCCTAGTACCAGTAACTGATGAAGCAACGGGGATCAGTTGTAAAATTTCATTGACCCTATTTTTTCACATTCACTTTTTGTTGTCGCTACAACGTGAAACTTCTCCTTCCGAACCCATGAAAATAAAAAGAAGTAAAAATTATAAATGAGTTACTGACGGCGTCGATTAATAAGTGTGATGATCCTACAAAGACATTGCCGCTAGCTGTATAATGATTTTTTTTCTCAAATTCGTTAGAGAATCTGTCCAATCTATATCAATCATTACATTCAGTTCATTTGCGAGACGCAACATACCTGTAAGTGGGGCACCTATGGAGTAGAAATTTTGTATATAAAACATTCTATTTGATCTTGTCCTTCTGGCTGGAACGTGAAAATTAATTTATGATAATATATGAGGTGAGTTAAGTTTATTATTAAGAAGCCGGTGAAGAAATGATATTACACATATTTTGCGCCTATTTTGCAAAGAAAGCATCCTGAATTCATCTCTCAAATGAGATGTTCTCACTAAACGGTAGTCTGGCCATACGTGATATTTTTTGAAGTGAAGATATCTTAAGAATTTATTCTGAAGTTTTTCCAATTCATATAATGTGGAGTTATATTCGCCAAACCATATATTTGATCCAATTTACTTCTAACCAATGTGTAGTACAGTAGTTTGATCGAATGTATATTGCTGAAATTTCTAGTTTGCCTGATAATAAACCCTAACATTTTATTTGTATTTCTTGTAATATTTCTTACGTGATTCTTGATTCAGTTCATAACTGAACTGAATAAGGTCTCTTTTGCGCGTAACCGACACTAAACATTTATCAACATTGAAAAATAATTTATTTTCACAACTTCTCTAATAAACCTTGTTCAGATTTCTTTGTAGCATTACACAATTGCTCACTGTTTGTACTTGTTTATAAATTTTCAGGTCATCAGCAAACATTGGGCATTCTGAGAATTCCAGCACTGCTGGCAAATCATTTATAAAAAGAACAAAAAATAAGGGACCTAAATTTGATCCCTGTGGTACTCCAGAGGTAACTTCAAATTTTCTTGAATATAAACCATGATATTTTACAAGAGAATCTCTGTTTTCCAAATAGCTTTTAAACAATTTGAGAGTATTTTTAGTTAAACCATGATGACTCAACTTCAACAATAAAATATCATGATCTACTTTATCGAAAGCTTTTTGGAAGTCTGCATAGATAGTATCCAATTGAGATTTGTTTTCAAGTGCCTCATATGCTTTGTGAGTGTAAGTTAACAAGTTTGACTCAATAGATTTATTTCTTACAAAACCGTTTTGCTCCACCCTGAGATACTTTTCAACAAACTGATATAATCTGCTGTATACAGTATGTTCAAATAATTTTGCTGGGGCACACATAATATATATTGGCCTATAATTTTCAATAGACGTTTTAGTGCCAGATTTGAAGATTGGAGATACTATAGATGTTTTCCATGCAGGAGGAAACACATTAGTGGATAGAATCAATCACTTGTAGAATATCATTGACTTTAGGTCGATGATGGTCATTATCTTGCACTGATGAGTGGCTAATAAGCCCGAAACCGGTCTGCAAGTGTGCCCGTTCTATAATTGAAGTTCGACTCTTTCAGTTGTATTGCCAATTGCATATGCAGGAAATTTCCTGTGAGGATTCCTACACTGACGCCTGTCGGATATAATCCAACGCCCTTCGTGGTATTAGCCAGGCGAGTAGTTGTTTTGTGATGGGCGTCAGTCCATTAAACCTACTGTGTAGGTATATACAGACTGGCTTGAACATTTGAAGTTCCATTTGCTTTAGATTTGTTTACTGCCAGTCTTCAAGCATGGCCCACTGACTAATAAGAAAATTTTAATGATAATAATAATACTAAATACGTTATTGTAGTTAAATGGTACTGAGGGTTTGGTAGTACTGATTCAGTAAAGTCTGATGGCAACCAAATTACCATAAATTATTGCCCCTGATCATCCACTACCTGAACCATGATATTCATACATTGAAAAAGATATAGTACTGAGAGATGGTTTATGGAAGAGAAGATGGTACTTAGAGTTTGGTAGCAGGAAATCACTGATCATCTACTACCTGAATCCTGAGACTCATAAATTGAAGAGGAGATAGTACTGGAAGATGGTTCAATGAAGAGAAGATGGTATTTGCAGTTGAGTAACAGAAAGTTAGTGAAGTCCATGAGCAGTCAAATAATCTTGAAATAATGTCACTGATCATCTACTATCTGAACCCTGAAAGTCATACATTGAAGAGGAGATAGTACTGTGAGGTGGTTCATTGAAGAGAAGATGGTACTTAGAGTTGGGTAGCAGGAAGTTAGTAAAGTCTATTAGCAGTTAAATAATCCTGAATTGATGTCACTAATCAGCTACTACCTGAACCCTGATATTCATACATTGAAAGGAAGATAGTGCTGAAAGATGATTCATTGAAGGGGAAATGGTACTGAGAGTGGGATAGTAGGGAGCTGGTGAAGTCCATTACCAACCAATCGGTCCTGAATTGATGTCATTTGTTATCCAATAACGGATTTATACATTGAAGATAATGCTAAACTGTTCCTCACTGTGTATATTATATTATGAAATATAATATAAGAGACGATTAGTGGGCAATTTTGAATTATATTATATATAACGAAACAAATGCGATGGTATTTATCGTTTGAGAGTACCAAAATCACAATGTTTCTTATACTACTAGATATCTGTTCAGCTATTCTATCTATCCTATCTATTATTATCATTTCATTTTCATTGAAAAGTTCTTCTCCACTTGGTCCCTCAACAACGAGAGTTTCAAATGCTCCACGGATGTAGCGTCACACATAGTGAATGTACGTTTTTTCCCCATAATTGACTAAACTGAACAATGATCAAACTCAACCTTATTTTACAATTAATATAACAAAACTTCAACCAAAACTTCAACTAAAACATCAAGTAATATTCAAAAGTCTACCGACTCATTAGATCGCTCCGCGTACCGCACTGTCACTTCCATTTGACTGTCCCGATAGGCGAGTGGATCGTGTTTATATTTGGCAATCAAAGGCCGTAGAAAATTTGTCGGAATTCCATCGAAGCGGGTGCAAACACTAGAATAATCGTAGCTGCGTGCGGCCTCGACCACGTCTCAGTTGGTTTATGGCTACCAGTGGCGTACATCGTTATTTTCTTCACGGCATGATTCACAACAATATCCTCAGCTTCAAACACTACATCAAGGAAGTTATTGTCTTGCACAATTTCACAGTTGAATTATAGACATAGACATAGACATATTTATTCAGACATATTTACAAGATAATTTTATGCTTTGCACAAGGTGCATTATCTAAGCCAATGGCTTGTATTACAACTCACCTTGTGCTAAAGAGTTATTTTTCAAAATATAAAAATAAAAAAAATTTGTTTGATTTTAATAAATATCCCATTTTCCGTTTCGAAAGTTTTGTGATTTAGTTTTTTTACTTTTCCATTTTGGTTGATTAGCAAAGTTAACCCTGGTAACATCTTTCACATGAATGTACGAATAAATCATTCTTTGCTGTCGCTTATCGACCAGAATAACTGTGTTGGAAATTTTTGTAGATCTGCAGATTTTTACTTTGATCATTATCGGTATTTTGATGGAGACGGCCAATTTGTATTCTTATTCACAAAAAAAACTCCATTATGAAATTTTCACTACGTAGTTTCACAAAAACGCAACACGT